TGTTGCGTACTTTCTGTTCCATAATTTGTAAACCTGTTAGAATTATTTGAGCTTAGAATCAAAAGTTCACACAAACAGTAAAATTCCCGAAAAATCAGAACGTACGATTTTTATTTCATACTTTTAGCACTTCTTTGGGGCCTCTCCTCGTCTTTCTACCAAACTCACAGCACTGTGTACAAGCGAGACTCCCTTTGTAAGCCAACTAAAGGCTATTCAGCCGCTGTCGTCGAGTTACACCGCCAATCGGGGTCTACATTCAAGTAGACTGACAGCTATCACATGGCGTGCCACCGCCCACATCGTGCGTATCGGCTTGTTCGACATTAATCGGTGGTATCATGCTCAAATGCCCTCTTCAATTTGGTAAGGAGTCCGTGTGTGGACCGGCAGCTCATCCTATGTGGTGAATTCTTTTACGCACTCAATTCCTTTTGTCTCTGTTGTTTTTAGGCCGGACAATTCATTTTTTGCTGTCTATGATGCTGCGCTAGACTCTTCGAAATCGTATCCGCTGGTGCGTGCACAGCTTTGTTTTTAAAGCTTATACTTAATTTTTTTCAAATAAATGGCCCAGGAGCTGCCTTTTTTCAGAATTTTGCACCGCTCTGCTTGCATTTGCTTCATATTTCTTACTTGCCTGAAAACAGAAGTTGTAGCTTTTACCGGTGGGTGATATCTCATACTGGCAAAAAATGCAAAACTTTGATTTCTTTACTGTTATTTGATAATGCTGTTAGTACTGTACCTCCAAATAACGCACGCAAGTGGCTTCAAAGTCCCTTTTTTCTCTAGCTCTTCACTCCTGAATAAAACGTTGCTCGTGCTATCAATTTTTCTATAAGCAGTCAATATTTTAAAAAGCGAAATAGCCAACCACTTTCATCGTTCTGCTCATAACGCAACAGTCATGCCCCTTAAGATTATTTCAGCGTCTCTAGGGATAATAAAACCACACAATATTAATTCTACAAACTAGAGCAAAAGTTTATATAACATACCTTTTTTATACTATATAAACGCAAAAGTGTGCTACCTTGGTTTCAATAAATCATTTTGTTTGCATGAACTTCAGTGCTCTGCTAAACATCACATAGTACAAATGCATTAGGTATACTCTTCGCTGTAATTTCGCAAATTAGAAACCTTTTTAGCATTAGTGTTTCAATATTAGTTGTATGCCTTCCGCATACCAAAATTACTGGTTAAAAATTTGCAACTTAATTATCTTTCATGAAGACCTGCGCCGTTTAAATGGAATTTTCAAGCGCTCCTCTAATTTGCTCAAATACATTGCTTCCTTAAATGATTGAATAAATAAGAATGTCATGGAGGAAACTTAAAAAAGGAACCATTACATCTTCAGCTTATGTCTGCAGAAGAACTAGGGTAACCCGTCACTTTCCAGTCCGGCTTATTCGTCCGTCTCAGCAGATAAAATACGCTAATTTTTAAGGAAATTAGATTCCATTTTCTCTCTCCCAGTGGCCCTCCCGAGTCAAGTCAACTTGAAATGAGACTGAACACAGTGACTGATAAGACTTGCAGTTTCAGTCTATACCTGTCTTCACAAGTGAGGTGTGATATGTTTATCGTTCTTGTCGTGCGTAATCATGTGTCATAGCAAGCAAGCAAGGTTTATTTGTGCGGTTGCACCTGGACTGTGTTGCACTCCATTCTTGTTCTAAACGTGTCTTTCTTTTTCTTGGCAGACCGCCCAAA